CCATGTTTTTGTCCAAAAGTTGCCAAAAGTAACCACAAAAAATTGCAAAAGTTGCCATGAAGGTTGCCATTAATTTTCAAGCTTTCAACTCTCCGTGACAATGCGTAGCAATATGTTAATAGAGGTAACTTAATCTAAAGCACAATACATTTCAATATATTCTGTTTTAAGCATCTAGAATATCATTTGCAGCCACGAAGAGTGTAAAAAGGTGTAAAAAAAAATGAAGGTTTCATTCACAACAGAATAAAATCAAAATTAGAACAGCACATAAGCAACAACAAAAACTAACAAATTTTTTAATAAGGGCATGTGTCCACCTATCCAAAGATTGGCCGGTTTAACCCTAAACGTTTGCAATTCAAGGCCAACTACAGGATATTGCAAGTAATTTATGGAATCACACACGAGGCCTGCCAATGTCATTCGGTTTTGGTGGAGACACGCTATAACGTAACACATTTAATTTTTTTTTTTAATGTAGGAACAACATCAAATTAAATAACATGACGCTATATAACCACACACACAAAAATAGAAAAACAACACTTCATAACAATAACAACATAAATTAACACACCAACAAATACACAACAAAGAGGGGAAAAAAAGACAGACAGCAATAATATAGTAAGTAATGTACCTCTACATTTTTGGCATGAAAAGAACTATACATGGTCTTAAAGTTATCAAAATACATGTCTAATATTTTATGCAGTAGATTCTAACCTTTTTTGCTGAAAAACGCAAAAATCGCGACGACAAACGCAGATGCTAGCCTTGCTTCTTGTGAGTCAAGATTAAGGACCAAGTCGACCTCTATCCCTCAGATCCTTGCATGGTGGACTGTGAGCCCTACGCCATGGAGGGCTCTTGCGCTGGCTTCTGGCAATGTTCTGAGGGTGTGTCCGTTCCCAAGTGCTGCGACAAGTTCTTCTCCTTTGTCCCTGGTGTAGGCTGCCAACTGGATTTCTCCTGCAAACAATACTGTGGCCCAGAAAATTGTTCCAGTCATGGTAATACAATCCGTCAGTTGTCCCCGAATGTCTTGATTGGGCTTCACAAATGTAGTGTCGAAACTGAGAAGTGTATTTTTTTGGTGGTAATTTTTGTAGTAGAACATGCTATTGGGATTTAGATCTATAGATAGAGAGATAGAGAGATAGAGAGATAGAGATAGATAGATAGATAGATAGATAAATAGATAGATAGATAGATAGATAGATAGATAGATAGATA